ATATTTTCACTTGTCACTGATGTGGGCCCTGGAGGACTGAGCAGCTGAGTGGAAAGGCCTCTGTAATGGGGTCTTCTTGGGTCAAGTTGGACAAATGGTGAAATGGCATGATCAGTGTTGTTTCCCAAAATTGTTGCAAGTGACATTATTCCTAGAAGGAATTGTTAACCCTGTAAAAATCAGTTTTATTTTTCCCCCTCTCTCCAGTTTTCTTAAATAGGCCTTTGTGTAAAGGCTATGATCAGGTATAATCCTATCTAAAACATCTTCTCTTAACCCTACTTCTAAATAAACAGTGAACACCACACTCAGAATGTTGAACTGCCTAGTAATTTCAGTCACCTGCTAAAATAGCTCTTTTGACACCAGACTCTAATAACTGAACTAGAAGCTTCAGGAAAATTAACTGCAAATTACTAACTCTTGATCAACAGTTTGCATAAGATATCCAGAGTCAAAATAAACCCAAACTTGCAGATGTTCAAAAACGTACTGGCAATTCTTTCCCCAGATGGAAAGAGACACAGACACAGCACTTGTAACCTTTAGTCAGATGCTTATTAGGTGGTTAAGCCTAAGCTGCAAAATAGATACTAATTTTGATTACTAATTTTGGTACTGGCTTAACTAATTATGTACTGTTATTGCAGTGACAGGTCTCAAGATCTATAGCAGGGGTAGGAAAATAAGAGCAAAGTGTCAAGATCTCTCTGCATGATGAAATGTGGCCATTGTGTTATATGAATCCAAGTCCATGACGGTCTTGATGAGCCCAAGGTTTAAGGAGACCCTACTAAATCCTAAGGGAATGACTGACATGCTCAAGCCTTCAGTTACAAATCAAAGGCAGCTTTTTTTTTTTTTTTTTTTTTTTTTTGCTTCTCAGTTTCTCCCTTTCTCTGGGCAATAAAAAGGAAAGGGAAGAGGAACTTCCCTCTGAAGTCTTGGTGATTTCTTGTTAAGTACATATATAAATATAAGCGTGTTGAAAGCACATTCTTAATAAAATTATTAATAACTTAGGGCCAGGATGGGAGGAGTCATCTAGTGTGGGATCACAGGGTTTTGAATTTTAGTGTGTTCCCTATTTTTATGACTAGATACTGGTGCAAAGAGCAGCCCTTTATGACCAGCTCTGGTTGTGCAACATGAGCTCTGACATTTCCCTGGGTGTTCCAGGTACCTGCCATCTAGGGTACCCGAGTTCAAGGTACCTTTGTTGTTGTACGCAAGACTCTCCTGAAAGTTAAAGATTTCTCTAAAAACTAAAAACCAAAAAAACACAGGTGTATGTGCACACACATATGCACACAAATCACCAGAATTTATAGGCTGTCTCTGTGCATGAGTAACACAAAGAAGCCCCAGAAGTTGGAAATGGGGTTCCCTGCTGAGACAGAAACTAGAAAGAACAAGCACCTAATAAATAAAAAAGCCACTAGTGGGAACTCATCTTCACGGAAAAGCATAAATGCTTTTGAAGACACACAAGAATACCCAAGGTTAATGAAGGTGCTCTAAAAAACAGGATTTAAAATAAACCTTGGGGAAAAAAAAAAGTATATAAACTGGGTAGTCTGCTAGACCCTGGAAAAGTGACTTCAGGAAGCAAAGCAGGAGCCTGGCAGAAACACCACTCAAGCATGTTATGGGAAAAGCACTCCAATCATGGGGGATGCCAGATCAGGATTACTCCCTGCACACCACTAAGGCTCTTAGCTCCATGTCCATCTCAACAAGACAATGCCTAATGACTAATTTGGCTTCCCTCACAAATCTTGATAATGAAAGAGATAGTCTAGTGAATAAAATTGGTTTTCATTTATGAAAAATTTCATAAATTTTCATGATAAATTATGAAACTGGACATTTGAATTCCACATTAATTGTCATGAGTCTATTCCAGGGAGTCTGTCCTGTGTACACGGATAAACTTGAGGCCCTAATCTGCAGAGCTGGGATGACTGCCTTTGGAGGTCCTAGGTCTGGCAGCCCCCTTAAATCTAACCTTGACATTTCAGATCCTACAAACAATCATCATGGGGAAGGAGGATACTGGTACAAAGAACCACTGTGTTGGAAGATTCCAGAGTGGCAAGGCCACAAAACCCATAGTCCCCCATGTTCATCCCAATACTAAGAGCATTTGCTTCTCCCTCCCCAACCTCCCTCAATCCCAAATCTATTTGCCTCCTTTGTCCCTTTTCATCTCTACCACCATGACCCTGTTCAGGGCACTAGTTTCAATCACCTGGATGACATAACAGCTGCCCCCTGACTGCCACCCCCCGCCTTAATTCTCCACCTACACACCAACCATGGTTCCTGCTTGCTCCAGCACATTCAATGAGCCCCCACCCATTATACCCATTATATCTGCATAATGGTACTCATGCTGCTCATGAGGTTCCAAGCTCAAGAATCAGTCTGTGGAAAGCTGGCAGGGCACCTGACCTCTGAGGTTGATCAGCTCCAAGGGCTGGTATAAGAAGTAAACCAGTTATTATACAACAGACACTAAGCAATGGTATCACCTTGGCCAGCTGAGTCTTTGCTTGTGTGTGCAGCTTTGTCTGTACCACTTACCACCAATGCCCACCCCTTGGTTCTTGCTTTAGTTTACACAATGACTTGGGGTCACCCCAGTGCACTGTGTTCCCTCATGCCACCAACTTAATATGCATGCTGAGCCTGGGCCTGGACTCCCTTTCCTCCCACTATGCCCAGCTAATTCTAGCACTTAAGCTTCAAGTCTCAAATTAGGTATCACTTTTTCCAAGATACCTTCCCTGAACACTGCCTAACTCACCCCAAAACTGGAATGGTGTTTCTCTTTCCCTTTCCCACACATTTTGGGAGCACCTATACTAGTCCTTAGGACTTACTCTGTAATTGTCAATTTTCCTGTCAACACCATTAATGGGGATCAAAACAAACTCTCCAGGGAGAAAAGGGGAGAAGCAAATAGAGGTTCTGGCTTCAGTAGCCATGCAGCTTTGCTACAGGGGTGCTTGTTCTCCCTTAGCCCTCATTAGAGGCTCACAAACTTCTAAGTGCAAAGCCCAGAGGTGGCTCAGCCCCTCCCTCTCACTTTACCCACTGATTTGGGATCAAAAGATCCAGATTCAGGCAAAGAAGCACTAACATTTTCACTTTCCAGTGTATTTCTTAGCCTCTTTGAGACTCAAATGAATAACCCTGACTGTGGGTTTATAAAGCTTTGCAGTGATACTTTGTAACCCACAGAACACCAATTATTAGATGATTATTGTTGGTGCCAGATCTCATCCTATAGCAAGAAGAAGTGGACAGGAAAGGATGTCAGGCTGCAAGGGGTGGGTGACCCTATTGGATTGGGGCCATTGCCAACAAACCTGTTTTCCTAATTCTGCCGCCTCATGTCCTACACACAGAACAGAGGTCTTCCTGAGGCTCTGTGTTCAGCCTTGGCCATTTTCCCTGAGTTTTCCAGAGACAAGGCTCTGGCATATCCTCACAAGTGGGAAGTGGAAACATCTTGGGGCTTTTAAGTATGACACATGGTAGTACTCAAAGGTTCCTACAACTAGATTACCTGTACTACATTCAGGCAGGCCTGCTGAGTCAGAATAAGCATTTTAATGACCCAAACTGATCACTGTGTATCATCTCACACCCATCAGGGGCTGTTGCCAGTACAGAGGGTCCTCTTCATCCCAACACACAGCTCCCAGCCCCTTTCCTGAGCCCCTCCCTGGTTGAAGCAGAAACTCAGAACACAGGTCAAGCCTGCCACCTACAGTTAAAGGGTCCAGGTACATCAGCTCCTGTGTTCACCTGCCCTTAGTTCAAGCCAACCCTATCCTTAGACTAAAAAGTCAAATTTCCTTCCTTCTCCCCTGGATTTAGAAATGGAAAATTTAGGAAATTGACTTAAATTGCTCTTTAGGCCAGTGTGTGTTTCTTCAAATTAAAAGCTGAATACGGAATCAGAATAAACTGCATTCAACAATGTGCAGCAAATGATCATGGAGTACCTGGGCTGCACACCCCTGAGATAAGTGCAATAATTCCAGGGGTGCCAAATATTCAGTTCTCACACGTGTGCAAACAAACTATAAGTCCAATTTATGAATTTCTTTCTGTTCACATTGAAGACCAATTTTTCTCTCATGGTGAAATTAATTTACTTTTCATTGCCTCTGCAATTAAACCAGCATTACTGCTATGAGAGCAGGCTCCAATCCTGTATCATGACCCTCATAGGCAGAAACACATACAGTGTCCACCCCTCACCTCAGGAAGAATGCATTGCCCATGAAGTTAAATGCTAGGTTGCCTTTTGTTAACAAAAATGTGTAGCTCTTGCTTGGTAAATTCCACCACGGAGAAGGCAAACCATGGGTGAAACACACACCAAGAGATATGTCCCAAGCTGGGGAATTGAAGAACATATGGGCAGAGTTTACACAGCGTAATTCTCATGAGAAGCAATCATGATTACTAAATAGTAACCAAAGCAGTGCAGCAGGGCTCTTCAGATTGCTTAAACATGGGGCGCCTGGGTGGCTCAGTCGGTTGAGTGCCCAACTTTGCTCAGGTCATGATCTCACAGCTCATGAGTTTGAGCCCCGCATCAGGCTCTGTGCTGACAGCTCGGAGCCTGGAGCCTGCTTCAGATTCTGCGTCTCCCTCTCTCTCTGCCCCTAACCCACTCGCATTCTGTCTCCATCTCTATCAAAAATAAACAAACATTTTAAAAAATTGCTTAAACATCAAAGTTAAGGTTAAAGAAATTGATGCAGCAGTGGAATTAAGGTAAAAATATTTTCTCTTGCTAAAAGAGTACCCTTAGTTCTCAACATATATCACCACCATCGCACATGTAGTCAATTTAAAATGAAAAACAAGTTTACAAATCACTTCTGGATACTTAAAAATAAACTCTAGGTTGCTTTTCTTTTTGGCAGCACCAGCCTTAAGCTCTGTGGCTTTGCAATATTTCAGAAACTTCAGGTACATTACAGTCTTCTGAGAAAGGCCCAGTACTTCAGAATTCTTGGAGTGGCTGTGGAGAAAGAATATTACTGGCAACAAATATTAAAGCAACATTTTAAGACCTATAAGAATACATTTAGATGTTCATAAATGTACACACATATTTAAGGATTCCAGCTGATATCCTAAATATTATTTCTGTGAACATATTCACATTTCTTTTTGGTTTAAGAAAAAAAAATGTACCTTATAGACAAATTATTTCAGCTGTAGATGGAAAAGTCCATGGCCACGCTTCCCTTTCCCAGTGTATATCAGGGGCCTATGTGGGTGTGTAGAGTTTTCTCTGGTCCCCAAAGAGCTCACCTGTGACATACCTTCTATGTGCACAGGAAAACTGCTCTTCTTATTCAGGGGCTCTTTTGTTGGTGGAATTTGGAGAAACTGGGTTGCAACATCTTTTCTGGGAGAGGCCAAGCATACTTTTTCATTCTTGTGGCTTTGTGTGTTTAAACAATTTGAGGTGGTATAAAAGACTGAACCACGAGATTGCTCGCAGCATTCCAAGATTCCTGCTGCGCCACGCTGCAAACTGCAGACATTCTCCAGGCCTGCTGGCCTCGGCCTGAATGTGAAATTTTACCCACTAGAAAGCATCATTGGAGCTCCAGTCAAAAATTTTAAATAGCCCATTGATACTGATGCTTTTGTACTTTGGCTTCAAAAGCAATCATGACCAAACATTTTCAACTATGAGTTGATTACAGTAACGAAAACACCTTTTCAAAAAACATTTAATGAGGTAGCTGAGGTCGAATATCAAATCCACAGCATACACAAAAGTGCTTAATAAGTGCTCAGGCATTTTAAAATGTATTTTTAAATGCAAACTTGCTACAGTGCCTAATAAATGCTCTTCCCAATTCCTGAAGATGCATGCAAATGTTGCAAAGAGGCCCTTGCAGAGTGCTAACAGCAAGAGAACAAGAGGTTGAGAGCAAGTGAAGCTGGACAGGAGTAGAAAGGAAGGGCGCTCTGGGCATACAGCCTGGGTTGAAGTGGTTGGTCTCCCCATGGAACTTAAATATAGTCAGTGCCACCAAGAACAAACACTAAGTAGAACTCAGGGATATGATGGGCTGAGAAGGGGGTCTTGACTTGAGGTGGTAGGAGCCACAGCCTGGGACACTTTCACTGAAAGATTGAGGCAATGCTCAGAGCACCCCTTCTCTGTCTTCCAGGGCCACTGGAACAACACTCAGGAGGGAGTCTGGACTCCTGCTGCTCTCACCATGACCACCCTGGATTCTGTTTGCTCACAGCCACAGGCTGCTTCCGGCTGAGAAGCTTTTAAAATGTTAACTTCAAATGACTTCCATGTGGAGTCTTGGAAAAAGGAAGGGTGGTGATACCAAGGCTGTCAGCATGGATTTTGTTACTGTTGCTGCAATATGAACATTCATGCTCATGGGCACACATGCACACTTGCCTGCACACAGGTGCACACATGAGTTGGTACGGGGCAGTCAAGCAGACTCCCCACGCTCAGGCAGGGCAGAAGTTGGCTGAGTGAAGGGGCCTGGGGTGGGTTCATGGAGAAGAAGCCTGGATCCACCTTCGCCACCCTCCCTCTCCTGTCCTCCATGGGGGCAGTCAGTATTCCAGGGCACCCAGCAGAAATGCACTGAAGACAAGGGATGGAAAGGCAGGCACCAGATCACTCTGTTATTAGGTCTCCGTCGTATAGTTGCTGTAGGCCAGAGGAGGCAGGGTCTGAAAGCTGCTCCACCGCCTCGTACCAGGCTGGGACTCCACACGCCCTTGCTCTTTATATTTACCCAGAATGTTTTTGGCTTCTTCTGCATCCCGCAAAGGGCTCTCTCCATATTCTTCCTTCAGCCACTGTCGGTACTGGAGAAGTTAAAAAAACCAAAATGTCACACACACACCTGCATTCACATAGATTTTACCCATTACTTAACGGTACAGATTTTGCCACATATAAACAAGGAATAAATAGGCATTGGGTAATCATGGGTCTGTGGTTGGCCAGCCAGTGTCAAGCAAGAGAAATAACTGCTTCTTCCAGATTGTGGCCTGAGGACATGAAAGCAAGCCAAACCAAGAAAATGGTACTTGACCCAAAGGGAGATAAACAGAAGCTAATATTGGGTCTGATGGTAAAAGATATGTTCTAAGCTGAGGACTTTAATGGGGATGCAGGTGGGGCATTCTTGGACTAGATGTCTTCTGTGGGCCTTTCTAACTCCAACCTCCATGATGTACAGAAAGATTGTGGCATCTTCCCAGGGGCTGCTGTTTACATCACCAAAGTCTCCTGAACATGGTTACCTGGTGGACTTCATGCTTCTCAAACTCCTGGAGCTGTCTCTGGAAGCCCAGGTTGGGGTTGGCACAGGACCTCCCTGCACGCACAGTGTGCAGGGCATCCTCCCAGCCAAAGTCGGTGACAGTCATGATGTATGCGATCACCAGAGTCACGCTCCTGGAGACGCCAGCCAGGCTGTAGGGCCAAAAGAACTCACATGGGCAAAGGGTTTCAGTCCAGAAGTCTATCCTATGATTCACTGAGAGCAGGAGATTCTGTGGATCTCGTTTGAGAAAGTCATCCTGCCTTGGATTATGAGTGGACACCAAGCCAGTATGAAATTATTCAGAAACATATAAGCTTCTACTTTATTATATGCTTCTACTTTATTATACACTAGAATCTCAGGCATTCAGTATCTGTGTTAGCCTCATTTTTTTTGTAGATTTCCTACTGGCTATGGCTTTGGACACTTCAGTTTTATGATTTTCTATGTTTCCTAGCCCCTCTTCACATATTCCCCATTTCCCAGGACAGAAAAAAAAAAACTAACCAAAGCACATCAAAGGAACTTGAAGGGTCTTGGATCTATGCAATAAATCTATTCATAAACTGCAGCAGTTTAGAAGACTTCATTTTTTTTTAAGTCTGGTTTTCTTAGATAAATGAAAACTAAATCTATAACTGAAAAACCCATTAAATACAGAAGCTCTTAGGAAATATTTATTCTTCTTGACATAACTAAGCAGAGTACAAGAGAGGACACATTCCATGTGCTCTGGGATGTATGGGTCAAGAACGGTTAATTATATCAGGCAGACTGAGTAAGGGACCAATTTTAAATGCATATGCAAATTAAGGTGGTCACAGAAGGCTGTGCTGCATCAGATTTAGAGTGTTCTAGCAACGGTTTAATATGGGGAAGTTTAGAAAATTTCTCATTTTTAGAAAAGCCTATCTTCAGATTTATACAACCATATGAAATACAAATTCCTAGAATATCATATCTACACATATTCAAATGATGATGATGATGATGATGATGATAATAATAATAAAACAATGACTCTCAAGTAGTGGCTCTTTCTTAGGGCTTTATTTCAGAAATACTGAGAGCTTTTAAAAAAATACATCCTCTTGGGGTACAAACCTAGAGATTCTAATTCACCAGGAGCCACAGAAGCACAGGCACAAGATTTCAGAACTCCCCTTATATGGTCCCAACTGCACTCCTCAAAGTGTTTTTAATCAAATGTAGATTACCATTACAAAACCCACAATGTGTTACATGTCCTACTCTTTTTAAAAGTAAAAAGGTAAATCACACTATTTCAAGAACTGCATAAAACTGCAGAATGCTGTTTTTTTCTAAAGCAATCAAATTATCTACTATCCCTGCTCTCCTATTATGGGTTACAGGTCCTTTGAACAGTTTAGTTTTCATTGATGGCTCTCCTGGATATCAAGCAATGGATCTCCTTGGTCAAGACAAGTTTATCACCAATCTCAGCAGCAACGCAGCCCAGGAGACATCACTTCACATTTCCAAAGAGCTTTCACTGCAACAGCAACTTCTTTGGGGAAACTCAAAGGACTGTTAAGCTTTTTAAAAATATCTATATTTTACAATATAATATTATCTCTTTTTTAAAAAACTGTGTATAGTTGACATACAATGTTACATTAATTCCAGGTGATTCTACAAGTTTTACATTATGCCGTGCTCACCACAAGTGTAGCTCCCATCTGTCACCATTCAATGCTAATACCATTGACTGTATTCCCTACGCTGTACCTTTTATACCCATGACTTATTCATTCCAAAACTGGAACCTTGTATCTCCTACTCCCCTTCACCCATTTTGCCCATCCTCCTACCTCCTCCCCTCCAGCAACCATCAGTTTGTTCTCTGTATTTACAGGTCTGGTTCTGCCTTTTGTTTGTTTTTTGTTTGTTCATTCATGTGTTTTGTTTTTTAGATTCCACATATAAGTAAAATCTTATGGTATTTGCTTCCTCTGACATATTTCACTTAGCATAATACCCTCTAGATCTATCCATGTTGCTGTAAATAGCAAGATCTTATCTTTTTCTGTGGCTGAAGAGTATTCAATATGGAGCCTCATTCAATATAAAGAGGGAAATGCTCAGCCTGCACTTTAATGAACAGCAGAGTTCCAGCTCTAGGATGTTGGCTACTGGTTCCTTTGACATATTAGTTATGTGATTAGTATGAATACTAGTGGTAACAAGCATTTCATAATATATATAATTGTCAAATCACTACATTGTACACCTGAAACTAATGTCAACTATATTTAAATTAAAAATAAAAAAATAAAATATGAGAGCCAACACTCACTGAGAGCTTACCATGTGCCAGGTACAGTGCTAAGAACTTTATGTACATTGTCCTTGGATTATGTGCGTTTTAACAGCTTTCTCTGCAGTGTGTACATACTCGTGTATGTATATACATATCCGCACAAAGTATAGCTGAATGCGGTAGAGAGCTATATATAAACTATTTATTTCTAAGAATCTATTCAGATCTTTTCAAAGTACTAAGCTAAACATACATAAAAGCCCCAATCTGCATATGTAGAAGAAATGGTTATTTTGGTGTTACACTAATACAATGCTAAACACCCACATATGTGATCAGAACTCTCCAGAAAGAAAAGGTGTTTTGGAAGGTCACTGAAGTTTCAGGGATGAGCCCACAAAATCTGTACCCTCCACAGGAGGCTGTTTTGAGGGAATGATAGACATAGGCTAGAAAAGAGTTTTCTGTTGTCCAGTAACCTTGACAGTCACTACAGAAATCCTACTGTGAAAATGAAAATAAAAAAAAAACATAGGGTTCTCTGTCATCAAAAACTAATGATGACTAACAAATGGCAGGGGTCAGATGGGGTGTATGTTCAAGATTCAGATGGTAGACGAACTATTAAGAGCTGAAATAATTAATCACACACAGAAAAACACTTGACAGAAATCAGGTTGAGAAGAAATGCTAAGCTATTATTAATTAGGTAGAGGCATACATACCAGTGTACAAGACAACCCTCACCCCTGAGTCGGCACTCGTGAATGAATTTAATACTTTCTTTGAAATGTCTTGTCCTGTAGGGGGAGAAAAAAAGAGAGAAGTGACATCTCTCTACTTTACTCAACATATGATGAAAAGAAAAAATCCATCTGAGGTTTCTTGAAAAGGTCTCAGAGTCCCACAGCTTCAAAACCGTGGTCACATTGTCTGGGTCTGGAGCTGCCTCAGCTTTAGAACCTTTCATACACAATGCTGAGGCTTGGGAAGGGCTGCCCATCTTCTGGGATTTTCAGAATTTCTCTGCAAGGAATCCCTGAAACACACAGTTGCCGCTCACCAGTACGTGTGTGTGTGTGGCGGGGGGAGGGGGGGGCGCTTCTGCCTATCCCATTGGTCATTGGTGCCCCTGAATGCTCAGGACCATAGCAGTGAAACCACACTGATGATCTGCACACCAGTTGTGCACATTCACAGATGTTCAGGTGAAGAAGGTGTCCTTATCATGCAGGCTTCCCAGTTTTAAAAGGTAGTTTACGGGGCGCCTGGGTGGCTCAGTCGGTTAAGCGGCCGACTTCGGCTCAGGTCATGATCTTGCGGTCCGTGAGTTCCAGCCCCGCGTCGGGCTCTGTGCTGACAGCTCAGAGCCTGGAA